CACCATGATCAAAAGTTATTCCCTACTGACAAGCCAAGCATCAGCTGGCCAACTTTTTTTTTTTATATATCTGAATATGAATTTTCAACAGAGAGTCCCCTTGTCAACAAAGGAAGGGCTTTTTGTCATGAACTCCCAGAATAATAGTCTCATTCATCAGGAAGTACTGAACAGTTCAGCAACATACTCCAGTATAGCCATGTTGTTTTTCTTGTATCTCATTTTCATATCTCAGATGAATTCGGCTTCCTCTGGTTCACAAAGTAGGGAGATGTACAAGGAGGGAATAGCTTTCTGTCTTTCCAGGCCTCTTTCTGCCTTATCTAATCCACTCATTTCAAAATTGCTCTCTTGCAATCAGTCCAGTAATTCTGTTAGCTTTAGGTTTGAAACTGAAACACTAAAGGTTAATAATGTTTTCTGGACACCTGGAAAGTCCATTCAGGCATCTATAAAAGACTGTGAACTTTCCCATCCCAATATATGTTTATGAATCGGCTATAAACTTAGTGACATTATTAAGTTATCTGGCTCAAATTTAAGACTAAAGTAAATAATCAAGCTCATTAACTTTGAAATCAATAATAGCCCCTTTCACCTCCAGTTTCCTTCACTAATAAATTCCTTGGAAAAAGTTGCTAAGTTCAGCGTCAACATCAGTTCTAGAAACACTTCTGTTTGAATTATAAAAGTTCTATTGAGTTAAAAGAAGGGAACTGATCAAAACTGAAATATGAAGTGATTAAATTATATTAACATGATATATATATATAAAAAAATATTTAAAGTTCAAAGATAATTTTTAAAAGCAGAAAGCAATTATTCATTACAGAGAGGCTTACAGACTAATGTGTATTCCTAGCTTTTGGGAGATATATTCTCACTTCTTGCTACATGATGAACTGCAAAAGGGAATGTATCAGTTATTTTCATAGCTGGTTCTCATGGATCCCTCTGTTTCAACTTTTTTTTCAAGAAGTTTATGGCATCTACAAGAATACCAAACTAAATGGCCAAATTTTCACACAGTATTTAGCCAGTAGCAGTAAGAAATATTAACTTCATTAATAAGTCAATTGCTATTTTATGCATTTCAGTATGGACCTGCAATTGATAAAACCCATTGAGTCCACTACACAAAGCTACAAATAAATAAAACCGGTAACAAAACCAAAATTATGCATGCTGCGCTCAACCCAATATGATCATTTGCAGATAATAATGTTATTCATTTCATGATATAACTCAAATAGAAGAGAATAAGGCAGCCGACACACTTTACTTGAATTAACATGCTTGGGTTTTTTAACTTAACTTTACAAATAGTTGGAGTTACTGTTCATTGTGGAAAGAACTGTAGGGTTTTTGCCAATTTTTAACCATAAATTATGGCAAATTATATTCTTTTAAGAAACTGAATAGGAACAGTTATTTTTCCAAAACTAGCAACAATAGCTTTTGCAAAACAATATTCACTCCAGTTTGGATTTGAAGTAGTATATAACTTAGCTGAAAACACTTCTTATCCGAGTTCAGACTCAGTTCAAATCAGAATATATATCTATGAACAACATAAAGTGTTGTTCAAAATGAACCCGAAAGATTTTACTATTTGAATGACAAAAAGTATGAATCAGACATTTCACAGTGAGAGGTTCTTGCTAAATTTCTTTTTCTCACTGAAAACCATGCAAAAACTTGTTACTATCACAGATGGAACCTGGAAATATCTAGATAACTTGTCTTCTTTGCCTCTAGAATGAGGAATTTGGACCAGTTCTTAAATTGTTTTTTCATATTCTGTTCTTTTTAATGTTGATGCACATCAGAGTGCTAAGATACAATCAGAAGAATCAGATATTCACTTTTATCAGGCCTTTTAGGTCAGATTTTATGGCAAACACAAAACATCTTACTGAAGTTGTTTTGGTCTACACCAGCTGAGACTTTGGCTGAAATGTTTAGCAGAAACAGTATTTACAACTTTGTCCAGAATTTTATGTATTTTTGCAGCTCTTCATCTGAAACACCTTTGCTAGAGGGCTTACTGAGAAGTGCAAAAGATGAACATAGATTAAATAGGGAAAATGGCTTGGTTATGAATCTGAACAAGGAAAGCCAAGTCATTCTCACTCTTCTTCAACAGCATGAACTGATTAACAGGTATTATTAACAATTAATCGGCAGTTTGGTGGATCTTTGCAAGATCTCTAAACCTGGGATTACATACGCATACAAAAGAAAACAAGATACAGAGAATGGCATTCTGGGTGTAACAGTTGCATTTGCTTTCTTTGTTATTCATATGTTAGAAGCATCATTGTGTTTTGGAATATTAAAACCCATTTAAAAGTCTTCTATTTTCAAATGAAGGCACAACGATATTCAACTTGGGGCAGTGGGGAGGTGAAAGATTAGTTATACAGGTATCACTAAATCTGAATTTGTTATAATAATGTCAACATACATTTCATAGAAGCAAGTTTGAATTAAACCTTAAAATGAACTTATGTTTATGTATCTCTCTTACAGTGAAAAGAATTATTAAAATGGTATTGTACTTTACATTACAGCACTGCATATAATAACAATACAAGTAACATGCAAGTATCAAAGAACCTTTTGATAAGGTTTTCCTCAGCACAGTTATTTATGCTTGCAACAGGTTAGGAGACGACATCGTTATATGCTGGTAAAAGTATCCTATGGTCCCTGTTTAATTCCGAGAGAAACCTGTCAGAGGTAAAAGATGTGCTACAAAAGGGATAAAAAGTAAAGAACATGTCTATTATCAATTTAATGATAGGATAGACGTTCCCTTCAAAGTTTTTCCTGTTACGAAGCCTCACCAGTGAATAAAAGTATCTAATGTATTATTCAGATAAAGGCCTCTGAACCTTAGACAGAAGGAAATCCATACTGCCTTACATTGCTTTATTAAGTCTATATTAAGGGCTCCATTACTTTAAAGAAACTGTTTAAGTAACATTAAGGCTATGACCCAAACTGACAAAAGTAAGGAAATACAGATAACTGAATTTCCATCTTTAAAATATGCTGCTGTGGGGAAGAAAAAGGAACAATGAAGTATGAGACTTTGCTTCTCATCTTGGGCTGAGAGAAATATTTGGGGGAAAAAAAAAGCCAGCCTGAATCTTCACCTAGCATTCAACTGAATCCAAATAAAAACTGTTTAAAGTTTGTCTCTCTTCCCATTACCTCACACCATGGGTCACTTGCAGATTGAGGAGCAAGTTTTCAAGCTGCTATAGGAATGACAGACAATTCCTTCCTCCACTGCAATAACAACTGGGACCCAATTACTGCTGCTGGCGCTATATGCAAAACATTGGTGCTCAAGGGTTTTCACGTGTTCTCTGACCACAAGATGTACTGTGAAGTCTCCAGAGAGTGAAAGATATCTCTCTACCTTTTTTTCCCCTATTATACAGGGGGAATAGAGGAAAGAGGATGATATAAGGGGAGAATAAGATCACCAGCAACAAGACTGATAGGGTACAAATTGGCCATCACTGTACAGGAAAGGAAAATACCATTAGACAACTATTTCTTACCTGTAGCTCTTAGCCCAGAGTTAAAATTAATTTGCCTTTATACCATGCCACTATTATATCTGATGAACTCTAACATAATTCTAACAAGACATAAGTAAACTAGAAACATATGTTGTCTAAATATTTTCTTTTAAGGTTGACATTAATTTTAAGTGAAATTATATTACTCGGGTGAATGGCCTACATCCTTTCACTTCACCTGAAGACTTGAAACACAGTTACATCTGTGCTGTTGAAGACATTGATATAGCCCTAATATCAGTATGTTATAATGTATTTTAAAACCTTTGGAAATAGAGGACATGCTGAGCACATGCTTGTGGCTAGGAATCTTTAAATATCTTCATAGTTGGATACTAGTTTTAGTTATAAACTTTGTCTTTATTCTTGAAGTCTCACTTCTGCATTGACATAGCATGCTGCCTTCAATTTATTTACCTCTCATACTGAGATTCCCCATCAGGTGGACATGAAAAGCAGAAAAGTCATATAGTATTACCACAGCAAATAAGGCAGTCTACATTAGACAGGATTCTCGTAGGGTCATACACACAAAGTCACTGCCCTTTCTATAATATCAGATTACTTATGTTGCAACACTTCGTTACAAGAGACTTACAAGTGACTTTCCTTTTTCCCTTGTTTCATGGCCTATTTAAATATTCTGTATCCTCAGCATACAAGCATGACATAGCATTTTTTCTAACAGACAAGTGTCTGTTAGACAAGTGTCTGTTAGACACTTGGAGACAAGTGTCACAAATGCTGAATAGAAAAGCTCATCTTATTCAAATCCTTACCTCTGCAAGTGGGTCTCAGCAAAGCTGAACTAAAAATAAGTGTTTAATCGTGAGAGTTATTAACAGTTGGACCAAACTTGGAAATAAATACATTGCTAACTTCAGTTCCTCAGATCAAGGTCAATGTCTTTCTGAAACATAAATTTGGCCAAATCTAAATTTAAATTACAGACAGGGGTGTAAATGGGTGAAAGTGAGCAAACTGCAGGATTTATATAAGATCAGATTCAATGATCCATGGCTTTTTTGACCTTACATACTACAACATTATTATAAAAGTATACGATATCCAAACTAGAGGAGCATGGATTTGTGTAATTTCCACAGAAAAAAAAAAAATATGAAAATACAAGAGATCCATTTTAACAAGATATTAATTTAAAAGGACAAATGGTTAAATGGATAACAGGATCTATTCAAAAGGTTCAAAATCAGCAAAAAGGCTCAAACAAAATAAAAACTAACCTCCCATGAAGAAGCAAGCAGCTATCTTTCAGTTCTTGTGATTTCCATTCTGATGGAAATAACACACACTCATTATATTTCCAGACTCTGGTGCTTATGTTATTCATATATATATTACAACCCAAGCTTTGCACAGGAAAAGAAAATCCCATAGAGTTACCTTGTACAGAACCTGTCCTCATACTTCCATCATGATTTGTGGAATCAGCCTTTCTTACCTCACCCTGGGGCCACTATTCTTTTGGTCCCACATCTGCAAATCCCTTGGCAGTAAACTTCTGTTGTGTTTTCTGCATACCTCACCACCTAGGGTTGTGGATAGTGGTCCTGTCCCTTTCCTGATTTTTTTTTTTTTCTGACAAGTATCTGCATCCGTTACTGCTTTGTATGATCTCTCCCTCCTTAGAGAATGTCTTAACCACCTATTTCCCAAGGAAATGCAATGGCTTTAGTCTTGCTTCCAGGACATCTTGTTTGGGAGCTCCATGGTCTCAGATATGTGTACTCTCTTGAATCTGACAATGACAGTGATAAGGGATGAGGAAAATTCTTAAATTATACTCTTATTACTCTCTCACAAGATGGGCTTCATTTCCCTCTTGACACACAAACAAAAAAGGGAAAACCTATCTGCAAAGAAAGCAAACAACCTGGCAAAGACCCAGAGAGCTCTGAATAGCACTTCTCCCTGACAACAATCAGCAACCCTGAACAAGCAGAAAATCATGATTTCTGTAACAAGTCTGATACGCTTATTTGCATTTTCTATAATTTTTAAAGAAATCAAAATAGTAGATGGGGTGTAAGGCCTTTCACAAAGACTTGCTCCTAACAAGCTAGTGAAACATCTTCTGCATCACAGTACACCTTCTAAACACTCAGGGCACATCATTCTCAAAATGCAATTGGAACACTCCAGTATTTCACCAATCTATATCATTACTAATAGAGTTTAACTTTTCAAGGTCATTAGAAGTCACCTAGTAAGTACGGAAGAACATAAAATGATGTGAGTAACAACATTCTAGCTCTTTGTTTGACACAACATGTTGTTTACCCTGTCTCAGTATTTTCTTTTGTAAAATGGGAAAAATAGCCTTCTACATATCTAAGTATAATGTTTAGTAAATGAACAATTAGTAAATTAAATTGTTCCACAAAAATTAAGAATAACAGCAATTCTAAGTATTCTTCTCCCCATTCATTGCCTGCACCTGAGAATATAGGGATGGATCCATTCCTTCCCTTCTTCTTGAAGAAATCCTGCTCCTTTATCATATCAATGTGGTTTTTAAGGAAAATAGTCATGCTCTCTCAATCTGCATAGTGCATTTTATACCACAAAAGGCAAAATTTCATCTTAAAACTGGGACTTCTGTGCAAAACATGGGCTGCTTGCTTGTCCTGCAAAAGAACAGCTAGATCTCCATCCTGTTGATTGAGCAGGTGTAAAGACTTCATCTTGCAAGATGCTGTTAACCTGTGGAAAGATCAGGCCTATATTAACATTTAAGCATAAGAGTAGTCCCCTTTCAGGTTGTACAACAACATATACTCACACATATATGTACAAACACACTCTCATATATCTCTCTATATGAATACACACACAAATAAATGGCTGGCAGCTGGATACAAATGCAAAAATATGTCTCAGGCTGGGACACTTTGAATTATTTCTAACATGTACAATGCAAACCATTTATTTGAAATGTTACAAAGGGAATTTTCTCCCAGGATGCATTTTTGTATGCTAAAATTCAACTAACACTGGACTTCTTTTTGGAAAAATAAACATTAAAAAGACTAGGTTTCAAATGGAAGTGCTGACAGGCCTTTAACTATCGCAGCTTGAATAGTATCACCACTGTATATTAACAACTGTAGTCATAAGATCTCAACATTTTTCCCCTCCCCGTCTTTCCCTGGAGCTGCTCAAAAAGCTAAGCCCCTTTTCACATTCTTAATGACCAAAAGTTAAAAAAAAAAAAAAAAAAAAAAA